TGCTGAAGGGTCAAAGGATATGGCACAGCTCCGGCGTAAAAGATGTGGTAGCAGTAGTAGATGTAGTAGCTGCTGTAGTAGAAGTCGAACCCGAAGAAGAAGAAGAAATGGTAGTAGTCGTTGTCGTCGTCGTCGTCGTCGTCGTCGTCGTCGTGGTCGTGGTCGTGGTCGTGGTCGTGGTCGTCGTTGTCATGGGGGTGGTGGTGGTGGTGGCAGTCGTAGGGGTAGTAGAAAGTAGCAGAAGCAGTCGTAGGAGTAGCAGTAGTAGCAGTAGCAGCAGTAGTAGTAGCCGTCGTCGTCGGTGGTCGGTGGTAGGTGGTAGGGGGTGGTAGATGGTGGTAAGTAGTAGGTAGTTGGTAGTAGATAGTAGGTAGTAGGAGTAAGAACAGGAGTAGGAGCAGGCAACAGCTGCAGAACAGAACGCTTAGCTGCGTATCCCAGACCAAGCCAAGAAGACAAACATTATTCACAAAAATTATATATATAATATATATAGCACAAAAGCTTTTTGCTTATCCGAAGGCCGAACACCCACGTGACAGTTTTGAGTGCAACACTCGTGGTCTGTCCCTGGACACTCAACCTAGTATTGGGACATGCTGGGGGCACGTTTTAGGCCAACCACATTTTCCAGTAAACTAAGACATCACCGTTTTTGAATTTCGAGCCCCTCAAACCAAGGATCGAGCTCCACGGGCTTCATGCGGTCCTCAGGGTCCTCCAGTGCACTCGAGAAGGCCGCCACCTTGAGCCGTCGAGAGGCGTGAAACGGGACGGATCTGGTTATGGCTTTGGTTTTGCTATTGTTGGGTTGATGTCCCTAACACTGTTTAGATGAGGGTGATGCCCAAACCCCATCCGCAGTCAAAGTCAATTCGTGAAGTGCAACTGCTCCAACTTTGTGCCTGTCTCAGGGCTGCGGGCTGCTGGAAAACGTTTTCGAGGCATACTGCAGTCCAGGGCACACAGTGGCTCACCTGGAAATCCAAAGCCGCCTTTTCGCACTTTCCCCGAACAGTTGCCGCGACTGGCAACAATTTGAAAACAATTTTTGTCCCACGACTTGTGATGAAACCGTCGACACGCTTTGTCCATCTGAGGAGATGGATGGCAAGGGCTTTGCAAAGCTGATGAAGGATAGCAAAATGGTGGGCGCCCGCTTCACCACCACGGACTGAAGGGTGTGACGATGGGTAAGTCGGATTTGGGTTGACGTGGCCCAAGAAGAGGTGCCCTTGCTGCAGGATGCAGACCTGACCTTCGCCAAAGTGGTGCCAAAAGGCATGCCTTCGGCTAGTTTCGAAGCGGGTGATATCAGAATAAACAGGTGACAAAGTAGGTACTAGCATTTCAAGAGGCAAACTCAAGTAGAGCGCTGTCGTGCATGTAGGCACGCGGCGAATTGACTTTTTGCAATTCAAAGCAGCTCTCCTCTTGGTTGCTGATGCTTGGTCGGAAGGGTTGCATCCTGCAGCCTGCAACATTTTGTGTCTCACACTCTGCAACTCCTCCTTGCTCACCGCTTTCCCCACCAAGGAAAAGAAGAACATCGATGCAGGAGAAGTCTTTGAAGCTGTTGCCAGGAGGGGTTCAAAGTGGTTAATTTCAGTATCAATTTTGAAGGCCAAGGCTTTTTAACAATGCTGGTCATTGTTATCGATTATGGATTGTTTCCTTTTATGCAGACACTGCATCTCAAACCAGTTGATCTAACCAGTACATTCCCACGGGTACGTGATTGTGCCAACATTTGGCTGGCTCTATAAGTATGTGAACGTGCCTGCCCTAATGACACGGGTCGAGTGACACGGGCTGTTTTGGGGTCACTTTTTCCTGTCGTTCTTTTGGGTCCAGGTGGTGACTAGGTACAGGCTAGTAGGTTGGAGGCCATCGCTATTAGGTTGGAGGCCATCTCGACTAGGGTGGAGGCCTAGCGCTACTAGGGTGGAGGCCATCGACGCCAGGCAGTTTGCAGGGCCTCAGCTGAATGGCACGCGAACAGAGTCTGTCCGGTTTCATGATGAGACCAGGCTGCATTGTGGGAATGGGCAACACTTTTGACCTTTTAAAACATTCCACAACTACCAGGCCGCCCTCCCTGGAACCTGTTGCTTCGGGGTCTGCAGTGAGTTTTCCAAAACAAGATTGTTTTATTTGCAACTTATTGTTATTTGCTTCGCATCTGCTTCGTGGTCGATTGTCCATTGCACCAATCGCACGTGGTGGGCCGGGACAGAGAACCTGCTCAATCTGGCTGTGGGTCGCGAGCTGATGGTAGAGGAAAAGTGGCTGGAACTTTTGAGCTGGCGGTGCAGGTTTGTTGGTGGGTTCTGGATTGGGCATGTCAAGAAGTGTCCTCCGAGATACGCTACCCAGACAAACATGTGACGTCGTGAGCCCCCATCAAAAAGTACAAGGTAAACGGTGCTCATTTTCCAGACGTTGCTGAATGTTGGACTTTGCCGGGCCTGCCCCAGGACATCAGCCTCTACACAGGTGTGCACGCGAATGGTGGACCCGAATCCATCTCCAAAGGGTTAGGCCGGAGATGGCCACAAAGTGGAGAGACTGGGGAAGTTTCTCATTTGAAGGTGCTTGGGGATTGGAGTCGGATTGGAGAAATTTGATGGATTCTGGGTGCTTTTCAGCCTGCCAGGCACGGGCAGCGCTCCAGTGTCGACTTTCCGGATGTGGTGAGGACCAGCTTGCCATCAGGCCCACATCAGTCAGATCCCGCCGTACACACATCCAATAAGGGGTCTACACATGTCTACGCCTATGAATAAACAACGGTATTCGATATATCATGTGCCCGTGATTGCAAGTTGCAATCCACATGTGCATCAAACTATTGAAGGACACTCCTTTCTAGCGGCTGCATTTTGGACTTGCCTTCGCCTGCAGGTAAATGGACTTTGAGTGGTACCTGGCTGTGGCCACAGTGCCCAGCCCAGGTGCTGGCGCATTGCTTCGCAATTAAGTTTCACAACACCTTGGCGACAACTGCTTAACTGCAACTTCTGCTGAGTGGAGTCTCTGAGCCACCTGGAGGGTCCAAAAGTTCTTACAGCCCTTCAGTGCAAGGCCTATTCAGCGCGATGAGACCTTCAGGGTTGCGCTCCCCCGCTTTTAGCAGAGATTCTGCTGATCATCTGCAAATGCAGAGTCGATCTTTGCAGTGCAGGTGTTGTCGCGGACTGCAACGAGCCCTGCTACCTGATCAATCTGACTTTCCAGCCGAGTTGGCAATTGAGTATCTAGCAGGCAGGCTGTTGCCCGTCCCGAATCTTGTAGGTCCTAGGAGTTTGTCAAAGCTTCTTCAGCAAAGAGCGCCCGATGATTTAGTCGAGTGAGTGATGCATCTGCCGTCCGATGGTTCCGCCTTCACCAACGGCGCTCTGCTCGCAGTTTGCGCAGGCCAGACGCCGATGTAGCCACCAGTGCTGCAATTTTTAGACATGGCAGTTGATCAGGATGACGTTATGGTCTTGAAGTGACATGGATTTGAAAGATCTCGGTAGTTGAAGTACTGGTCTCAACTGAGAGAAAAGCCGAACAACTTCCATATCTGGAAACCTCAAGCTGGATCTTCTTGGATCCCTGTTTGAGCGCTCCTCACAGAATGGCGCCGAAAACACAGCTTTGAACATTTGATCATCGAGTGGGGATGTTTCTCAGACCAAGCAAGTAGCAGTCTGATCTACCAGATGTTTCTAGCCCAAGAACTCACTGAGCGAGAGCTGTGTGGGGAGGAAGCAAGGCGAAAGACTTGGGCTGTTGATGACCAGAGTGGCGAGCTCTTTTCTTGCGCAGAGCCTTTGGGTCTATTTTTCATTGTTGGCCTGTCTGGGCCTTTGGCTCAAGAGTTCAGACATCTCATTTTGGAGTTCTCAGGGTCCTGCCACAGGTGGCCCAAAACATGGCAAGCTTTGGTGTCCTCTCCAGTCTCTCGAGCACCGTAGAAGTCCAGTTTGACCTTCACAACTGCCCAAAAACGGCAGGGGAAGCGACTTGCTCTTCGCGAGGTTTGGTGATGTGGCTCGGTTGGATATCTCCCAGGCGCTGGCAACTGGGTTGGTTTTTGTGACCTTCTATGATGTGCGCGCGGCACAGCAAGTCTTGCAGCACTACGCACCTGCTGCACAATGCAGAGATGCAGGGATGCACCACTTTCGCGAAGTCTGCCTGCCGGTCGCCACCTTTGTGAAACTTCCGAGCCATGTGCAATACCTTCACACGTTTGGAGCAGTTGCGGGATTGTCAAACTGTGGTGACGAAATGGTCGTCGAGTTCTATGATATGTGCGCGGCCCATAGGACCGCCAATTCTATCCCCGGGTGTCGGCCTATGATGCATACCCCAGCTTCTTCATCATCTCCCCTGTGTCCTGCCGAGGTGCTACAAAGCGCAGGAATGCCCACAGTCGCGCAAGAGGCAAGCGAATTTAAAGCTCTTGAAGGACCTGCATAATTCCAAGAATTCTGGGATTGGAGAGCATTTGCGTGCCCGGCACACCGGCCGGATAATTAAAGTATGTTCGTTTCACATGAACTCACTGCCGGGGTCAGAGCACTGTCCATTCGGCTAAGCCGCCACGATGCATGGACTTCGAATTGTGAAAAGTCTCAAGCTGGGGTAACACAGCCACCGCGTTTCCACCATAGACTATTGAAAATACGTGTCAGCTTCTTTCAATCGACGGACTCTTGAACCTCCCAACGCTGGCATGTTAGAATCGGACAATATGGATTTTCCTCATGTGCCGCTTGAGAGTCTCAACTTTTCTTTTGGCATGCTTGCTGGACGGTTTGTCTGCAGCGTTGTCGAAGGACAAGTGCTTTGACCAACTAGAACGTCACAAGGTCACTGGAGGAACCTTGACATGTGTGGCGTTTTGGGATGAAGCCCCACGCAGGTCAGCTCAATTTACCAATCTATTTGGCGTCAAGACCTACGGGACCTCACCCCTTTGGAAGGCATCGTAGTCTAGCAGTTCTCTTTTCGGAGTTTCCTTCCCTAAACAGGCCTCAAAACCCAGCTGCCCAACAGCCATGGAGCGTGCGAAGACCCACATGGAGCGTGCGAAGACCCACAGCGAAAGTGCTCCTCGGGTCGAAGACCTGGTGGTTGCTGTGCGCGGGCGCTCCCTTGCAGGGACCAAGGTGCGACCACGGCCATCACTTGCTTGTCTCGGTGGACTCACTTGCCTGTGCACTTGGGCCATTCAGGAATTCTTTTCGGAGGAGAGCTATGAGTCCGACAGAGGCCGATCCAAGGCAGCGACCACAAGAAGATTTGGGATCCATAGACTGATCATGTATCCGGAACCTGGGTTGAACGACATTGAAAGTATATTTTTGCTCACGAGTTGGTCACTTGAAGCATGTGTTTGAAACGACCGCATGCCGTCCAGATCTCTGGTGGGCTTTTCGGAAAAGCTGGCCAACTTAGGACAACAACTTCCGGCGCATTTGGACTGCTTTGGCAGCTCAGCGCTGTCATGCTCGCTGTTTGTGAGTTTTAGCTGCCAACAGTTGCTCCTGACACAGACCGTTTGTTTGATGAAGTCGGGTTCAAACAAGCCTTGAGAGGCAAGACTCTGATCAGGTGGTCGGTTTGCTGATGTACACCGGCACCATTTTCATTTATCGCTTGATTTTCGTGCGCTTCTACGTCCCTCGAGAGCTTGAGGTGCCCAACAGTCGGGAGAGGGGTCTTTTTAGACTAGAGATGTGGAGGTACGACCCCTCGGTGCTTATATAGAACCACCAGAAGAAAGACATCGGGCAAATGTAGCATGTGGCAGATTTCTGGTCCCCAGACCAAGTGTAGCACGTAGCATGTGGCAGACTTCTGGTACTAGGGCCAGATGCTGCATTGTTCTGAAACAAATGTAGCACTTCCATGATCAGTTGAAGTCACGTTGTTTTGTATCACCAACAGTTCTATTCAGCCCCGGCCACCTTACAATTTGTTGTTGAGCCGAGCTTTGAGAGGTGGAGGAGACCGATATATCCTCCACGTGGTTTGTAGTATGAAGGCAGTTTTGAAGTTGTACAGAGCCAGAAACCAGCTGGGGTTCTTTTCCGCAGCTCCGAGGGCCTCCAGTATCAACCGTTTAAACTTCACAGGGGAGGGTAGAGCCATGGGAGCAGTCCGCTCGGCCTTTTCTGCTTCTCCACGGCGGCAAGTTGTGTTTGTCGGACTGGATGCTGCTGGAAAATCCACCATGCTGCAGACCATGAAACAGCGACAAGGAGGGCGCATCACAACCCAATGCCCAACCCTTGGCTTCGAGGCGGGGTCGGCTCAAAATTGTTGCCTAGGACGGAGGTTGGTCAGGCTAAAGTCTGGATTGTTTCTCAAGGAACTCAACACGCAAGGTGGAAACGCTGGAATTGAGTGGGTCTGCCAAGTTTATGACTATACACGCCTGGGACGTGGGCGGCCGCCACAAGCTGCGAGTACTGCTAAGGTTGATCTACAAAGACGCTGATGCCATCATTTTTGTTCTTGACAGCTCTGATCGAGAGATGTTCGAGAGTGCAAGGGCCGAACTCATGGATGTACTTGGAGAAGAGGACCTTGCGGGAAAGCCGCTGCTGGTCTTCGCAAACAAGAGGGACTTGCCAGGCGCAGTTCCCATGGCTGAAGTGATTGACAAGTTGGGCCTGCATGATCTACGTTCTCGAAAATGGTTTATTCAGGATTTGTGGGAGAAGCTTGTTTCTCAAAATGCAGTATGCCATGCCAGTTTGGCCGGGAAGTGTCAACATGTCCAATTACATACAAGCAAGAATGTTTTTCAAACTTGGCCGAAGCTTCCCCTGTTTGTAGGAGTGCGTGGCAACTGAAGGACAAGGTCTTTGGGAGGGTTTGGACTGGATGACGTGCGCCATGAAGAACCCTGGCTCAAGTGGCCCAAAGACTGTGTCGTGCAGGCCACAGGCAGCTTTGCATTTGCCTCCGAAAGCTCCAAAAGACAGCGTCGCAGATGACGTATCCACAGCAGACACGGAGGACGTGGGAGCCCGGAACGAGATTGCTCAGAGCTGAGTGTTTTTGAGCAGAGGCTTGACAACTGTTTCATGCACTTCTTGAAGGGCGCTGGGGTGTTACATAGTGTAGATGTAGTATTTCACTGCTCACAGGCTACGTGTACAGCTCAGCCTGCACTCAGACTGCAAATCGAGGTTCTAAAACTCTTGTGCAGATGCGGCCTCATGTTTTGGTTAGCATCCCCGCAGATTGAAATGGTTTGTAGGGTCTATGCTGCTGTCGAGTGGACATGTGCTGCATTGAGCTTTGCAACGCCCAGACTCCAAACTCGGTCATATATATATATATACACATACACAGAACCTTGGGTTGCTCTCCCCATCAAGAGTTTGGTTGTACACTTGCCCTGTAGCATGTTCAGTCCTGGCCTTAGTTCTTGCCAGTCCCAGCTGTCATGACCACTCTTGCGACCACTCACTATTAGCAGGTACCAAAGTTTTGGACAGCCTTTGACAGCATCGTGGACGTGATGTTCGTGGTGGATTTACTGATCCAGTTTTTGTTCACGTACACTAGCGAGTTGCTCGACTGGCATGTCGACATTGCAAAGTCCTTGGATTCTTTGGAGTATAGTGTGCCGCAAAGAGTAGGCGTCCTCACTACTCATGTTTGGCCGCACCCACTGAGGAAAGGGACAGAGGCTGGGATGTTCAGCTTTTGCCAGAAAGAAGCTTCATTGCAACCTGCAAGCTCCTTTCCTCTGGAAGCTGATCTTGGAACACAGAAGCACACATCACAGCCCATATGATGAGTGAATGAAGGGTGACAATATATTGTATGGAATGGGAACTGTGGGGATTGCGCAGATCAGGGCCAAAGGCTTTTGAAAATGCCTATGTGATTATTTTGGTGGATTCCGAATCCAAGCAGGTCTTCTTGGGGGGGTGGTTTGTAGCTTTCTGATACACACCATGATCACCCTGGCTAGGTGGCGGTGCCAAGGAAGATCGCAGTGAGATACCTGTCCGGCTGGTTTTGGGTGAATGCGAAGCTTGTTGGAAACTATTTAGAAGACCACATGCAACCGAGCTTGCTGTTGAAAGGAATCAGGTTCGTCTTGAACGCCCACACAAGGTCTTGCACTTTCAAGCATAGTTCTTTCTGGTCTTGAAGATTCTTGCAACCATGTGGTTAATAATACTGTTTTTATTGATATGTTATCATTCAATGAGAAACTCTGCTAAACGTAGAGCAGCTTGTTGGTGGTACAGCTTGCAAGCCGAGGATTTCGTGCATACCAGAGGAGGTGGTCGACTCAATCGGCTTCACTTAAGACCACGTTCTTTTTTTCCCGAATGCGTAGCGAAGGGTTCTCGTTTAACTCTGGGGGTCTGGGGGTAGAGCCTTGTTCGCGACCCGTTGTCTCCCGCGTTCACAACCGTTCGCAACCGTTTGCAAACGTCCGCAACCGTACCGTTCGCAACCGTCCGCAACCGTTCGCAACCGTCCGCAACCGTTCGCGGTAGGGCGCTCAGGCGCTGCCATTGGGGGAAGCTTTTGGTGTTTCCGCTTGACTGTACGAAACGTTCGTTTTGCAGACTTTGACATGTGAGATTTTGAGGGCCACTGGGGGGCACGAAGCATGCTGGCATAAACGCGGCGTGTCGCTAGTGAGCGGGATGATTGGTGGTATCGTGTGGTATGTTTGCTTCTATAGTGCGTGGCGGACCATGTGGCGAAATTACGTTCCTGTCCTACAAAAGTGTCCTACAAGAGTGTCCCACAAGAGTGTCCTACGAGAGTGTCCCCCAAGAGTGTCCCACAAGAGTGTCCTATAAGAGTGTCCCCCAAGAGTGTCCCACAAGAGTGTCCGATAAGAGTGACCCACAAGAGTTTCCTACACGAGTGGCCCACAAGAGTATCCAACAAGAGTGTCCCAAAAGAGTTCCCGGCAAGAGTTTCCCACAAGAGTGACCCACAAGAGCGTCTTACAAGAGTGTCCCACAAGAGTGTCCGACAAGAGTGTCAGACAAGAGTGTCCTACAAGAGTGTCCCGTAAGAGTGTCCCACAAGAGTTTTCTACAAGAGTGTCCCACAAAAGTGTCCCGTAAGAGTGTCCCACAAGAGTTTCCTACAAGAGTGACTCACAAGAGTGTCCCACAAGAGTGTCCGACAAGAGTGTCCGACAAGAGTGTCCTACAAGAGTGTCCCACAAGAGTTTCCGACAAGAGTGTCCCGTAAGAGTGACCCACAAGAGTGTCCTACAAGAGTGTCCCACAAAAGTGTCCCGTAGGAGTGTCCCACAAGAGTTTCCTACACGAGTGGCCCACAAGAGTGTCCAACAAGAGTGTCCCAAAAGAGTTCCCCGCAAGAGTTTCTACAAGAGTGGCCCACAAGAGCGTCCTACAAGAGTGTCCCACAAGAGTGTCCGACAAGAGTGTCCGACAAGAGTGTCCTACAAGAGTGTCCCACAAGAGTTTCCGACAAGAGTGTCCCGTACGAGTGTCCCACAAGAGTTTCCTACAAGAGTGACCCACAAGAGTGTCCCGCAAGAGTGTCCGAGAAGAGTGTCCGACAAGAGTGTCCTACAAGAGTGTCCCACAAGAGGTTCCGACAAGAGTGTCCGTAAGAGTGACCCACAAGAGTGTCCTACAAGAGTGTCACACAAAAGTGTCCCGTAAGAGTGTCCCACAAGAGTGTCCTACAAGAGTGTCATTTGGACATGTGTAGCTTTTCGAACGTGTTTGCATTCGGGTTCGTGGGCTGCATTTTCTTTTGGTCTCACCGCAAAACCTCAGGGCTGAGCTGGGGGTGCCAGCAAAAGTCGGTCGCTATGCCTCGAAGCATCGGTTTGTATAGCAGTCCTACACGGCATATGGGGGGCTCCTGTAACAAGAATAAGCTACTAGGGGCTCCTGGCATCGCTAGTAGGAGCAAGGACGCTACTAGGGGCTCCTGGCATCGCTACTGCTGGCCGTACTACTAGGAGCAAGGACGCTTACTAGGGGCTCCTGGCCGTACTGCTAGGAGCAAGGACGCTACTAGTAACAAAATCTCTAATGTGTCTCAGGTCGCCAGCCTTGTCTATGCCTCGATGGTGGGTGATGCCACGGAGAGCTCCCCGACCGGCGGGCACAGGTCGCTGAGGTGCCTAAATCGAGAGTCTGCGGTTGTTTGCGGGTCGCTATTAGCTTGGAGGCCATTCCTATTAGGTTTGGAGGTCATCTCGAGTACGTTGGAGGACATCGCTACTACTAAGTTGAAGGCCATTCCTATTGGGTTTGGAGGTCACCTCTAGGTTGGAGGCAATCGCTACTAGGTTGGAGGC